CTCCTATTTCTCCAGGCTAAAGGACACTGATCCGGAAGTTAAAATTTGTGGAACAAAACGGTGCGGAACATGCCCGTATTTAAAACAGGGTAAAGAATTTACCTTCTCCGCCACGAATGAAACATTTCGGATAAAAAACTCGATGAACTGCACCTCAACGAACTTGATTTACGTAATAACATGTGCAGGATGTGGACATAATTATATAGGAGAAACGGGTGATGTCCTGAGAAATAGAGTGACAGTTCATAAACAACAAATCAGAGACCCGCACACACGTATGCTGGGAGTCAGTAAGTATATCGATGAATGTGCGGCGGGATTGACTCCTCAGTTTACTATCTTTCCGTTTTACAAGATTCTCAGCCCCTCCGAGGGCATGAGAAAAAACAAAGAGAGGTTTTTTATTTTGAAATATAAACCCGTTCTTAATGAGTTGAAATTACGCTAATTGCTCGCGCGTGCTATGAATTACAAGAGCCATTATAATTGTAATTACAATTACGTCCGTGACGTAATAAGTTAATAAAAACGCTTTGCTATGCCTGAAGAGCCGCAACAGCGGTGAAACGCGTAGCGCAAAAGCAAAGAAGACTTTCGTTTTTCATTGTTTTTAGTATCTTCATTCGACACAGAAGTTTACTTTCTATATATATATATATATCTGTCTGATTTTGGAAAAAGGTACCCTACAACAGAAGAGGCTCTGTAAAAAATGGATGCCTTTTCTGTGGTCTCCAAATTGACTTAACTTCTGAATTACCAAAAAGGCCTTAGAGTGGCTAAGGTTCGTTCAAGTGTGGTAGAGGTTGGCCAGCGAATCACGCCCTTTCCCTCAACCCCCCACCTGCTTCTGAGGCCCCTGTCCCAACAACTAATATGGGAGGAGTATAACGAACAAAAAGTATGCACTGATTTCAATGCTTGCGTGCGTCACCACTACTGTATGGCGGTAAGTTAGATAGCTACACTAGTCAGCGGCTGGAATTCTTAGATAGGTACCTTTTTAGGTGAAATCAGACAGAAATAACACAAGTGTTAGCTATCTCTTGTAGTGGATAATCTGCCATGGTGATCTTTCTAATTTGGTCAGAAAAGGTTTCTTAAAGCTAGCGCTCCAAGCTCATTTTTTCAATAAGTCGCCTTTTGGCGACCTTCATTTTTAAAATGGTCGCCAATGGAAAATTTCGGTCGCCAAAAATTGTCGTTTCATTAACGCAAGACACTTCATGCTACTTACATGAAGGAGCTACTGCTGAACGTTGTGTACGGAAATAAATCGTGTTTTTAACACTCCATTGTTACTTGCCTGCGGGTTGTAAACGCGGTACAAGATGGCAAAAACAGGCAAAGACATTTATGAGAGGTAACCAGAACAATTTACTACAAAGTCGCAGGCTACGTGTAGCCAGATCAGCGTGAAAAGTGCCTGACTTAACTTTTCTCACGGGAAATTTAATATTTCTTCATGAAACACATTTACTCCAACAAAAGTATTTTTATTGATGAATATAATAAAAAGAGCTTTTATTTAAAAAAAAAAACGCAATAAACGCAACTTACAAGAGCATACGACTTGCCATCTTTTGTGTCAAAAATTTAACTGTTTCTGTCGGGGTGGCCTGGGTGTAAGTCAACCCCGCCGGAAGTAGTTTTGGCTGTCCCCAGTTTCTCCCACCTGAGTTTTCAAAATGGCCGCTCAATGAATTCGAAGCTGCGATACGCAGATCCTTATGCCAGAACTGTACACATGTCTTGCCATGCAAGAGGAACAGATTCATCATTGAATTTACACAGAAGAAAAGCTTGGTAATATTTCTTTAATTTAACGATGATTCAGTTAAAAAGCGATAAAACGTTAAGTCAACTTTATTCTTTTGAGCTTATATCCTTTGGTCGCCAAATGGCGACTTTCGCCGATAATTCAGTCGCCAATTTTTTTTTTTACTCGCCATGGTGACCAAAATGGTCGCAGCTTGGAGCGCTGAAAGCACACAGGGTTTGTAAGCAATCTAGTATGCTATTTTCGTGGTCCTTGTATTGTCCGTTGGGTCTGTTTTTTTCGAAAGGGTCAAAGTTCTTTAGGCTCCTTTAGTGCAGTGACCACTGCTTTACTCCCTCTCTGGTGAAAAAAGGTAATAATAATAATAATAATAATAATAATAATGAATAATAATAGGCAACAGCAATTCAGGGAAAGAAGTATTGCAGCATAAAATACTAGCATTACTAAAGTTTGTTAACTGGTTCAAGTTAATAGTAGCTTTGAGAGAGAAATATTCGGAGCACCTCTTGCGGTTTCCATGCAAGATGGCCTATTTACCGTTCTCGTTTTAACCCCAATTACCTGCCGGTAACTCTTGCGGCAAGAACCAAGAGCTTTTGCTCGAGTGTCTCCCAGAGTTACCGGCATTTAAAGACTGACAGAAACGTCAAGACTTCTACTTGTGAAAGTCCAAAAAAAAAAAAAAAAATCTAATGCAGTTTCGCTCACCGTGAT